ACATCCTACTATGTACAAGACCCACCCCCCAGCGAAGGGTTCTCCAGCCCCAAGAGCAACCGAGCTCACTGTGAGAAATCACAGCACAGAGACACAGACACTCACCAGACAAGTTTCTTTCCTTCTTCTCCCCGGGACACGGACTTGGGTGGGTTTGCTGGGGGGGAGGGGGTTGTCTCCAATTGAGTTTATTGGGAACTCACGGGGTGCTAACAGTATATAGGTTTCAGGGCTACAGTTGTATAAACCATTTTCTGTCCACGGTATTGTGTGCTCGCCACCCCAACGCACGTCTCCTTCCATCACCCCCCCCCGTGTGTCCTGTTGCGCCTCCCTACCCCTGTTCCCGCGGGTCGTGACCATGCTGACACACCTGTGTCCTTGAACTTTCCTTCCCCCCCCCCCGTTTGTTCCTCTCCAAACCGTCTACATTACTTGCCTCTGTTGCTGGCTTTCACTGGGATCCCCTACTACGCGGCTTTTTAAAAGTCAAGACTAGCCTTTCCCTCTCATTTCCTCCCAGGCTGGGGCCACCGCGGCCCCGGGGAGACTTCAGTAAGTGACAGTTTGCATCTCGGGTATCTGGCCTGCAGAGAAGGGGTCCAGCATGGCTTGGCCACTGGGGCCCAACCGCACGGACACTCTGCCCAGCTTTTCTAGCTGGTTGGGCTTTCTGACGGTCCCCATAGGCTTGCACACCTGCAGAGTGCGGCCGGCCCTAGGTGGCGGACACAGTCTCCGGGGGACCCTGGGGGCGTCGGTGACACTGTAACTGGGGGCAGGGCCCGGGGGACAGGTGCGACTCCATGGTACAAGTGTCACCCGATGCTCAAAGTCACATGCCTTACGAATGATCCCTTTCCTGCCTGCAGTGACAATTCCAGGTCCACGGTCTCCAAACGCCCACTTTGGGGCCCGAATGTCTTTGGACGTTAGAAGGCAACGACTTTTTAAAGCATCAAAACCAACGTCAGAGGCATATTGAAAGGCCGTTGCAAAGGCTGGCTGCCTTCGGGACAGCTGTTGGAATTTGAAATGGACACTAGCTTTTTTTCACAACCACAACCCTGCTGTTCTCCAGGCCATTTACTAACCCCAATCAACCCTGGCTGGGGTAGCACCGGCTGTGAACCAAAGGGCCGCCGGTTCAAGTCCCAGTCAGGGCACATGCCTGGGTTGTGGGCCAGGTCCCCGGTAGGGGGCGCATGAGAGGCAACCACACATGGATGCTTCTCTCCCACTCTTTCTCCCTCCCTTCCCCTCTCTCTAAAAATAACGAAATATAATCTAAAAAAACCCAACAACTCCAAGCAAAGCAAATTTTGGAACAGCGTGAGGTGATGGGCAGGAACCAAAGTGACTGTGGTAAACCTCTCCTGATAAACGCATGCATCAAATCATCAGCTCGTTACATTGTACACCTAGAACCGACACGTGCTTACACGTCCATTATATCCCAGCCCACACTCCTGTGGAATGGGTATATTTGCCAGTACTTTCTGTTACCTAGATTCTGTGTGGTTTTGGACGAAGGGCTGGCCAACTGTGGTTTGAAAGGCCGCAGGTGGCAACAAGTCATGCCGTCGAGCCAAAGAGAAGAGGTAAAGTATATGTAGGTGGCATGTGTATATATGCATACACACATATATGAATGCAACGGCACACATGTCCCGTGACACGTGGCCCCTTCAGCGCAGCGCTGGACAGCAGCGCAGGGTCACACACGGGAAGGGCCCTGCCTGGAAATGCGATGGTCCTTCGCCTGCTGCAGGGTCAGTAAAGGCCGCTCCCCCGCCCTCCGCTGACATTCTCTGGGTCAGAACAGGGTCACCGCCACGTAAGTCACCCAAACCCAGTTTCCAGTCTTTCTCTGTCCTTTCCCTCTAGGGCCTGCGCAGAGGGCTGCCCGCCTGCCGTGCGGACGCAGCACTCAGGAAGAAGCCCCAAGCAAGCCTGTCTACGCTGGCAAGTGTCTACGCTGGCAAGTATCATGGACAATCCGTGCCAACACAGATAAATGCAGAGTTTCGTCACACGTGACAGGGATGCGGGTCAGCGCCTAGGACACCCATGCCCAGTGACTGGCGTTGAATGAGCTGGGACATGGCATCCAGCCGTGGAAAGCTTGTCCCCAGCTTCCCACGGGGCTCGGCCCTTCCGCTGGACAGTGAACGGGATACAAGGGGCAACTTTCAGCCTCCTTCATGCCCCCTGAGGCTACTTCTTGCCTCCAGCTCCATCATTCTGACCCACGGTGGCTTTCCCCTCCAAGAGACAAGGGGGCAGTTTTCGATGGGGGTAGCAGTGAGCTATAGAAGCTAGAAGGTGGATGGACTCCAACATCCCCCAGTGCACAAAGCCACATCCGGCCGCCAGTGTCCACCGTACCCAGGACGAGGGCCCTGCTCTACGCCGGCGCTCGGCCTCATGCAGGTGACATGCCTGCTCCGGGTCACCGAGTCCCCCTGCACTGAGGGGATATGTGACAACATGCAGGGATACCTGTGGCTGCTGCTGTTTGGGAGAGGCGGGGACACTGCCTTCTCGCTGGTAGCTTCGGAACAGCCTACAATGCACAGGGCAGTCGCTACTGTAGCACATTGCTGGCTGTGCTATTGGGAAAACAGTTACAATCGCAACTGTGAACGTGAGCAGTGGCGAAGGGGAACCCACCTGTGCACAACACCTTCTGCCCCTGGGCCACCCAGAGAAGAAGCACGGGGGGCCCTGAACCCCTGTCTCAGCTCCAGGTCCCTTATCGGAGCTGGAAGTCAGAGCCCAGCCCTTGTGTTTGCCTGAACTCCCCCCTCACGGGAAGCCCTGGGTTATGATTGACATTGGCACTGGCCGCGTTTCATGACATTGGCTGGTTGTTTTCCTGCCCGGGCAACCCGGGCCCAAGGTGGCATTTCTGGCCCATCACTGGGACATTTCTGAGTGCCTGCTGCACCGGGAAGGGCTTGCTGACTCAGGGACCGGCTCTTCCAGGGTTAATCTCCGCACGAGGCAGGAATGTTAATGAGAAGCCCAGATAGCAACAACAGAGTGGAGATAGAAACAGAGTTGCAGAACTGGTCCTACAGACTGACCTGCATGCCCCTGCGACCTGGTCTCCGGCAGCCTTTGCAGGGAGGCCTGATGAGGTCCGGCTCGTTTCCAATGCAAATAAAAGGAGACGTTATCTTATCTCTTCTCCTCTCTGGTGCACTGAGAGCTTGGACCTAGCGGCCTCCTGATTTCATCAGTTGCTACGCTATCGGCTCAGTGTAGAGGGATATTGCGCCATTTGTCTGTTGGTGTATATTCACGTCCTGCAGACACCGATTCACGGACCTAAACTGTCAGGTGTGCGCAGGTGTTTTGCAAGACAAAGACCACCCTACAGGGTCATCCCCCAATAAAGTAGCTTCACCATTCCTGGGAGCAGCATGTTCCGGGTGGCAGTTCCGGTTACCTGCCCTCTAATCCTACCTGGGAGGTTAGCCAGGGGAACAAAATCCACAGAGACTGGAAGAACGAGAAGAAAAGCCACCAAGAACTGGGCCTCTTTGTTCATTAGCATCATTCACTCCTGATAGTGGGGAGGGTCCGCCTGACAACAGCCACGGCCTCTCCGTGGGAAGAGAGAACCACACATCGGGTGACCTGCTCTGGCGTGCATGGTCACCCGACCGTCTCAGAGGGCTGTCCTCTGCAACTGATACAACTTTCCAGAACAGGGAGGCCGGTTTCTGAAGCACATACTCCTTTCCCGTTCACTGGGCCCCTTTATACAAACGGTCCATAGAGCTGAACACCATGTCAGACGCAAGAGAAATAAACACTAAAACAACGCAGCCTGTTTAGAAACATTCAACATCTACATGCATGTCTCTCAATTAGAGAGACAACTTTGTTCCATTTTCGTTTTTCAGGATGCCCACACAAGGGGCTCATGACGAATTTTGAAAATGGAGGGAGAAAGAGAGGGAGAGAAACATCCATGTGTGGTTGTCTCTCATGCGCCCCCTACTGGGGACCTGGCCCGCAACTCAGGCCTGTGCCCTGACTGGGAATTGAACCGGTGACCCTTTGATTCACGGACTAGCACTCAATCCACTGAGCCCCACCAGCCAGGGCCTCAAATTTCCTTTTTAGAAAAGCAACAAATAGTAAGCTTCGAAGAAAACCAATCTTCTGCGGCTTGCGTTGGGTGCCAAATATATCTCATTTATAGTCATTGTCTCCAACTTGAAGCAACGGCTCTAAGTGTGATACATAAGTTTAATGAACTGCATTTCTCTCCGGAGTACACTGTAGCTCAAGCAAAATACTCCTTTTCCTGTCTCCTTCTGTCTCCTGGGTCTGGCCTCCCAGTTCTCCAGTGATACCAAGCGTGCATTTTCAAACTACCACTTCCACCCACAGACAGACAAAGAAAAAATACTTGACTCTTATTTTCTTGTCCTTAAAGAAGACCCTGTTTCCAGGCAAATGAACCAATAAAGACTTATGAGACGCATTCTTGCAGCTGGGTTGAAACATTTGTTTAAAAAAACAAACAAACAATGGAACACCACAGGTGAGAATGTGCAAACTTCTGCCCTAGCTGGATAGCTTGGTTGTTTAGAGTTTCATCCTGATATGCCAAGGTTGGGGGTTTGATCTCCGGGCACAGACCAGAATGAAGCAACGGATGTGTCAATAAGTGGAACTCAAACGGATGTCTCTCTCTCTCTCTCTCCCTCTCAAATCAATAAATAAAAACTTAAAAACAGAACGTACAAACTTTCATTCCTCCCACAGAAAGAGTTTAAAACGCTAGCTGCCACGGCCAAGACGCCACTCTTTCAAGTTTTCCCATTAACCCTTCCTGTGCACAGAGAAACAAATGCCAGCCTGGAGCTCCCTTCTGAGCCAGAAGCCCTCCAGTAACGACTCCCAGCATCCTCTCTCGCTGCTTATCTCATCATCTCAGCAGCCCGGGGCAGAGAACAAAACAGAAAATGCATCCAACTCACCCGTTCTGATGAGGCTTTCAGAGTGGGGGGGGGGGGCTGCTGCTGGCGCTGCTGGAGCTGCTGGCGCTGCCGGGGAACTCGGACCTCGGGGCGCAGCAGCGCCTCCCTGCAGGGACCTCTCTCAGATAAGCAGCACCCCAGCCTCCCGCGCTGGGGTGTAGACAAGCCACCTAGCAGCCCGGGCAGTTATAAGGACCATCGCTGGCTGTCAGGTCACCGCTGGGTCATCGGCGAATCTATCATAAAAAAGCTATTTCGGGGCTCGTGCCTGCCCACCTGCTTGTCCCTCACGCCCCAACGTGTCTCAGATATAAATCAGAGGGCCGCCGGACTTCCTGGACGGAGTGATCACATCACGGCACACGGTGGGGGGTGGTGTTCTCTGTACTTTGCCACGATCTTTCTTTGCCTGCTGGAATCCTGACATGGAAAAGGCGGTGGGGGTGGGGGCAGCAAGATCGCTGGGAACAGTTCTGTGTGCAGAGCAGGAAGACAGGACAAGGGTTCGTGCAGAGTGGGGGTGGGGGAGACTATCGAAGGCAGGGTGGCTGCCACCCAGGTAACGCAGGGTGGTAGGAGCAGGGTCACGTTGGGAGCAGACTCTGCCGCACAGAAGCTTGGGGTGTGAGTCCGCCCACCTCCCCGGCACACGGAGCCCCGAGGAATTCAGCCGGCCATGAGCAAGGCCACCCGACAGCCGGGTGGGTGGCAGGCAGGCATGCTGCTCCGGGCGCTGGGTGACGAAATGAGCAGGGAGCCCGCTCCCACACGCTGCGGACACCACAGCCCAGGGAGGCCGCTTCCAGGGCCTCCTCGGAGCTCCGGCCGCTCTGTCTAGGGGCAGGAAAGGGAAAATAAAAACAAACAAACAAAAAAACAAGGAAGAAAAGACCCAACTCTGCATCGCGATTTCCAGGAGTCCACTTCTAAAAATAAAACACGGCTTCTCTGTAAAGGTGGCGCGTGCAGTGCCCTGAGGCTCTGGGGAGGCGCTTGGGTAATTAACACATCCCGTGGCTGCTGGCATAGTTGACACCTTAGTGGTAGCCCGGGGTGGCGGCACCGTGGAGATGCTGGGAAGGTGCTGTAACCTGAATGAGCCGGGCCGGGTGGTGCTGAAAGTCGACATTGGTTCTTGGGGGTCTCTAGACAGAGCTCGAGTGGCAAAGCTGTTTATAGGAGCTAGTGCGCCAGGCCCCGGCGTCCGAGGGACACCCGCTCACAGCCCGCTCCGCAGCTTGAACACGGATGCTGAGCGTGAGACTAGAACTCTGCGTGTTTCCTGCTGGGGCTGCGTCCCCCCGGCCGAGCTGCGCTTCTGGTGGTCCTGGAAGGAGGGCATGTGGAGGGGGCAGCTTCGGGCTTCTTCCTGCCCCGGCCCCTGCTATGAGGATGAAGCAGCAGCAAGTTCTGCTTCAGGCAGGTCCTCTCTCTGAAAGGCACCGACATTCCCCCCCCTCCATTCCACCCCATCAGCTCCTCCTGAGACTGGGGTAATGGCCCTGCTCCGTCTGAGAACCCCCCCAGCACAGCCCCCCGCTTTCTCTTCCTCCTCCTCAAGGAGCTCTTGCTGAGCAAAACGCCAATGGCTGCAAGCTGCCCCCCTCCCCCGTCGTTGCTCATCGGTCGCCGAGGGCATCAGTGGTGTGTCTATGTGTGAGTGATTCTGGGGTGCAGCCCAGACCGGCAGAGCCCCCTCGTCACGGGTCCCAGGCCTCCCCAGGCTTGTCAGGAGGACTGGGGGGACAGCCTCCGTGTCCCCGGAGAGGCAGATTCTGACCTCGGCCTCTCTGCGGGGTGTTGAAAGACTCTTCACTGGGCTGAAGAGAGAACAGCGCATCCCTGGGGGGCGGGCACAGGAGCCCAAGGCCTCAGAAAGCTCCTACCCCAGCTGGGAGGGGGGGGCACACAGCGTGCAGCCCCTGGCTGCCTGCACCCAAGGCTGCCCCGGGCTTCACTCACCAGTCAGCTGGCACTTTCCACTGGGTACCCCAGTATAATCAACGCTCCCTTCCACGATGCACCTCAGCCAGGGACACAGGCCTCTGCAGCAGGGGACGGGAACTCAGTCCCCAAGCTGCCACTGGGCAGGCTGTGAGACCTGGGAAAGCGCTTTAGTGCCTGGGGCACCGGTCTTGTCTGCTGCAGGGCCCCAGGGTCACAGGCGCAGGCAAGGTGATCGATCTGAGGTGAGGGCCTGGGCCAGTGTGCCTGGCACCTGCACAGGCGTCCCTCTGTGGCAAATCCTAGAGGACAGGGGACAACAGACGGCACCTAACGGAACTACGTGGGCCGTCGCCGCGCTCTGAGGGCACCCGAAACAGGTGCTTTGTTCTCTGAATCCGTGTAGGTGGTTCCGGGAGTTTTTCAGGGTGCCACCTGGCTGACGTCCCACAGTGATGGCGCTGACCATGATCGGCGTCCCCCGGGGACCCCCAAGCTAAAAGTGGGCGTCCCGCCGCACGGTGGAGTCCACAGAGGGAAAACCCCAGCAGAGAGAGGGTGCTGGAAAATTCCAGAGGCCCCCAGCGCGAGGGCAGAAAGCGGCTCTTCCAGGATTAGCGCGCGGGGACTCATTCTCCCAGACTGAAGGTGAGGACGAACGTTTGCTCACCACCGCATCAGGGCCCTGAACCAAGGCCACGACAGGGACAAGAGAGACGCAGCGCTCACAGAAGGGGTCTTCCCGGACCCCGTGCACAGGCAGAGCACCGGGATCCGCATGTCACCTCCACCTGTGTTCCCTCCGTGATTTCGGCAATGTCACAGGTCAGCTGGGCGGCTCCGTGTCCCTCGGAGATCCTCCCAAGCCAGGCACATGGCGCTGCCACCCTCACCGAGTGCACAGAGGCTGCCACCTCTCGAGCCCTCTCCTGCATCCGGTCCTCAGGGCCTCCCCAGTGAGTCCCATCAAGGCCTGGGGCAGCAAAGCCCCTCAGAGACTTCCCCAGGCCCACCACACCGGTTTCACCCGCTTCCCTTAACCTATTATTTGGCTCTCCAACCCCTGCAATTATGTAACACACACACATCACACATATACGTCGTATATAAATACTTACAGTATATGAAGACCTTTCATCTTGAGCTTCTTAAAGCCACATGTACATCTATTGACATATATGTGTATATCTTTCAATGAAATGTGTTTAAACTGTGTACAATGACCTCTCCTGTACTTTTAGAGAGAGGGGACAGGAGGGAGAGAGGGACAGAAACATCAATGAGTGGTTGACTCTTGGGCGCCCCTAACTGGGGACCTGACTTGCAAGCCAGGCATGTGCCCTGACTGGGAATTGAACCCACGACCCTTTGGTTCACAGGCCCTGGCTCAATCCACTGAGCCACACCAACCAGGGCTCCTCTTAAACTTCCTAAAACCACGCCCACATGCTGTATCTTGTACATACCACACTCATTTGGGTATATGCTAGATTTACTAAACGTTCCATGAAGACATGCCCTCAAGTTTCTTTACACAACACACCCAACTGTTTTAAATAACCAAAGTGTATATTAAATACACATGCATTTGGATACACACGTCACATACATACATTATATAATTGTATATAAATACAATCTATATACAATTTTCTCCCTAATCTTCACTACTGGGGGTCCCTCACATTCTCCTTCTGTGCAGTTTTCAGTGTGAACGTACGCTCTAATCTCAATGCATCGGAGCCCCAAGGCCTCGTCCCATCCCACACTGGTCCCCAGCCCCAGCAGGTGGGTACGCAGCATCGGAGAGTCCCAGGGGACCCGAGCCTTCATGCGTGTCCTCCACGCCGAAAACCATGGTGGGCGGGACCCACCCAGGGGGAAGCTAACAGATCTTCCTTTCCCTTCACCCTGCGTGGGCGGCGTGTTTGGGAAATAAAAATGAGCACAGCACTGGGGACCACGGAATGGCAGGTTTTCACTGTGGACAAGTGGCCTGTGGACACCGTGCTTGCGCATGAAGGAGGGACGGGGACACCACCCTTTCCTGGTTTAGGTTATTGCGGGGAGGAAGAGGAGGTGGTCACCCAGCCGCTCCCACCTGCCCGTTGCGTAAGGCAGTCAGATCAGTCTGCTTGCCGCCCTTCTGGCCTGGCGGCATTATTTCCATCCACGCTACAGAAGGAAAAATGGGTTTGATCTGGTTGACTTTTACTGTTTTTTGTTTTTTTTTCTGATGGTCTCCAGAATATACCTCCCCTCCTCCCATGTTGGTACAATCAGGAATGTATTGGAGTCTCACATGCACGGCCGATCAGGGTTCAGTTCGGACGCCTCCCTCCCAGACGTGAGGGAAATGGGAAAACAGGCAGAGTGCTTGCTGCTTGTCTGGAAGGAGGCAGCTGGCCCAGGCCTGGCCCTCCTGCTCCCCCGCCAGGTGCGTGGCCTGAGGCACTGCGCTGCTTCCTCTCAGCCTCTCTGTCCTCATTTACGCAACAAAAATAAGTATAACGACAATAACTGCCTTGGCCTGGAGAGGTCCAGGGGATAGGGAAGTGGTGGTTGTTTAGAAAGCAGCAAGCCGTCCTCGTCCTCATCACAGGAGGGCCGGTGGCCACTAGACTGCAGAGATCCTCAAACAAAACGCCAGTTCTAACCACACACGGCCCACGGCTCCCCAAACCGGTCTCTCGGCACCTGGCTGGCACAAGCACCCTGAGAACTGCCAGGAGCACCATGCGGCCTGGGGGGGTCTCCGCCTGGCATCCACACATGTCCACTGGGCCAGGGATATTCACACACTGATGCTCCGGAGGCTGGAGGGTTCGCACGCAAGGGCCCTGGGCAGCCCTGCTGGTGGTGACTCTGGGAGAACAGACGCAAGGGACGCACCAACACCGATGTCCCCGGGGACCTTCGCCGGGAACACTCCTACCCCTCACAGGCACTGCAGGGAGGCGGCTATGCCAGAGGATTCCGCCAGACCCCAAAAGGAAGAGGGAGAGGAGAAAGGAAGAGAGAGGGACCGGGAGGAAGACAGAGAAGGCAGGGAAAGGGAAGGAGATGAGGGCTGCCCGGGGCGGACCACAGAGCCGGGCCCGCTTCCAAACATAACCGGGGCTGCGGCTCCTTTCCAAACGCAACATGTAAGGCAAACAGGCAGCCAGAAGCACCCCGGCAGCGAACAACAGGAAGGTTGGAAGACGCTGAGACTGAACACACACTGGCATATATGAGGTGGGACTGCCCCCCTCCCCAAAGAAGCCCTCCTGGGATTTATCTGTAAAAAGCTGTGTTTTTATTCTGCCTTGTTTAAACTTCAGTCCCCTTCAAAGGACTCTCCGTGTGAAGCGATACGGCTACCGAGACGTTTTTCCCACTGCTCAAAACAGTTTTTGAAGTTGTCCATTCTGATGCCTTTCAGTGCTTCTGCGGGTTTTTTTTTTTCATTTCACCTGTTCCCCATCAGCAAAATGTTTCGCTTGAAGCACTCTCTTTCATCCAGAGAAACACAAAAGTGGCCAGGGGGAAGATCAGGTGAACAGGGAGGATGAGGCGCAGGGGTCATGGGGTCATGCTGTGTTTGGTCAAACGCTGCTGCACACGCAGTGTGGTGTGTGCAGGTGAAACCACCCATCGTGAAATGAGAAAACACCTTGAAAGGCTTAAAAAAAATCACCAAAGCCAAACCCAGCCTCTCACAACAACACCAGCTGGTGCACGGATACAGATGGGTTCCTAGAACACTCACTTGGCGGGGGGAGCCTGGACTTCAAGGGGCCCATCCTCCAGATCACAATTCTGGGTTTTTGGGGCCCCCCCTTGTTTCTCTATTAATATATATCTACAGCTACCCTTTTTTTTGTCTTATGATAAATGTCATGCTGCGTTTATACGTTGGTGAGAAATTACCGTGTTTTTATCGGCCCCGCCACTGCTTAGTGAGTTTTGCAGACCACCTTGCCTCAGCTCACTGGATCTTCCCCGGGGCATCCGATGTTGTCAAGGAGAGTCAATGGTGGTCCCTCGGGGAAAACAGTTTTACAGGAACGCATTGGGACAGCCCTCCTGGCTTGGGGGGGGGGGCTCAGCTGCTTGGAGCGTCACCCCGTACACAGAAAGGTTGTGGGTTTGATGCCTGGTGGGGGGGTGTGTGTGCAGGAGGCAATGCAATGGATGTTCCTCTCTCACCCCCGCTTTTCCTCCCTCTCTCTCTGAAATGAATGAACACACATCCTTGGGTGAGGATTCTAAAAAGTAACTAAGTAAGCAAATCAATCAGTCAATCAAAAGGGTTTGTGATTAGTGGGAGGAAATCTGTCCCAATCTTCACAGAAGCTGCCCTCCGCTGTGGGAGCAACGAAAAGCTAAAAAGCATTCGGTCCGCTGCTTAGAGCCCACGAGAGAGAATGTGATTTCACTGCTTTCCAGGTGGGCTTGTGGCAAAGCGGCCTCTGAGTACTCGGTGCTGTTGGAGGGGCGGAGGGTCCGCAGCCATGCCAGAGACGCTCCTGAAGAGTGTAGAGAGGGACTTAAGCAGGAGCCAGCCACGTTTTCAGGTCCTTGGCCTTCCCACTGCCTCTCTTCCCCAGTGGCCCTGAGGTCTCCACAGCTCCACCCCGAGAGAAAGAAAGAAAGAAAGGGGAACTCCCCGCCAGCACTTTGGTTCCTGTTAGCAAACAAAATGGACTGTCCTACAACAACAGCCCGAGCTACCAGGGCTAGGAGAGGGTGAGGGAAAATCTCATCAAGGGTGTCTGCCCCGGCACGCGTGACACCTTCCTCACCCGAAACTCGGTGTTTGCTTAGCTTCTCAACACATCTCTAGGAGGCTTCACAACCCAGGCCGCTCCTAACCTCCTTCCTGGTACCACCTGCACCTCCACTCCTGCATCCGGCCACTGCCCAGTTTCGAATTCTTAGTCTCAGCATAGGGGGGCGTATGTACCCCTTTTCAAAACACTCCTTCTATCTCAGGGACCAGCAGAAATGTAATGTTACAATGGGCAAGAAAAACAACTCTATGTTTTGTAGATCCGTGGGTGTCCGACAATGGAAAGAAACTGAGCAGCGGAGTTGTAAAGGCTCCATCCAGCGGGCGGGCACCGGCACACTGTGGGCACTCCACCCATGTCAGTGGGACGCATGCGTCACGGAGAAAATTGTGTCCCCCAAAAAGACACGTGGCATTCAAACTGCCCGGACTTCAGGAGGTGACCTTATTGGAAGAGGCAGTTTTCACCGAGGTAATCGACCAGAAAGAAATGTGCTCCTCAGGGTGGGTGGTAACCTGTTATGACGGCTCTCCTTCTCCAAAGGGTAAATGTGGGCACAGATTTGGACAGGGAGGAAGAAGACCATAAAGAGAGCGGGGGCACAAGAAAGCCACGTACATGCGAAGGAAAGACACCTCAGAGGACATGAAAGGGGCTGACATGCCTCTTGTGTAGCCCACCCACCCACTGCGTGACTCCTCCGCCCACAACCTAAGGCAATCTGGATCACAACCCACTAACCTACTGATCAATTTCCTTTCATGAGGTTCCGAATGCTCAGTGGAGAATCGCGTTTGGATCAAATGGGGGACACTCTCTTTACAAGAACAGCTCTGTACAAAGATATAAACTCATTGAACATGCACAGTTGGTAGTACGGAGCTTGCCAGCCTCTTCTCATTTAAGATCCCATTTGACGCACGCGGAAACTGAGGCATGAAGGTTGCCCTGCCCGGTATCCTTGCGGAGTTTGCTGAATCCAGTGCACACAGGTTGGGCATGTCACCACCAACACACACTCACATTTTAAAGTCTCTAGAACCTTCTCACCTCTGCTTCTTGCAAGGTTCTCTCCTGATGCTTAAACGTGCATGGACAACACCACAGAACATCAATAGAAACTCAGACAAAAGTGTATCCCTGACAGAGGGGTAAAAATGCTTTTCAGGTTGTATTCAACAAGGTTGGAAAAGGAAGAAAACTCAGAGCAAGCAAAGACAGCTCAGAAGAAGGCAAAGACGGCAAGGTAGTTAAAAAATTCTTATGAAGTGTCTTTCCTATCAGATTCCGGCCTCGGGGGTTTGCCCGTGGCCCGGGCACCAAGCAGGATGCTCGGGAGGCACGCTGGACATGCTGCCGCCAAGGTTGCAGAACCGAGCGCCCTGCGCCTGCGCCCGGCCGAGCACTGGGGGATCCCGAGAGCCAGTCGGCAGTGACCCCAGCCCGAACATCTCTGCGCCTCTCCCCCCAACACCCGAGCCCAGTCCCTGCAAGCTTTCCCTCCTTCCGCGCAGCACGCCCTTTCTAAATTCAAGCCGTGCACGCTGCCCCGACACTGTCCGGCTCTGCGCGGCCCCCGGAAGGAGCATCCCGGCCCGGCTGCGGGTGTAAAAGGATCTGGGGTGCACGGGGAACAAACTCATCCCCACGCACGGCTCACACGTGGAAAGCCACAGTGCGCGTGCGCAGAACGTGCCCGCGATTCTCGGAGCGCGCGTGCGAGAGCGCCAAAGGGCGCGCGTTGGAAGAGGCCCAAGGGGCGCGTGCACAGCCCACTTCAGACTGCGAAGTGGCCTGCGGAAGCCCAGAATGCGCGTGCGCACTGGCTTGGAGGTGGGGCTGACCAGGTGGCTCGGAGCGCGCGTGCGCGTGACCGGACCAGGGCGCGAGCGCGAGGAGGACCCGGGCCGTGCCTGCGCTGAGCGTCTAGGCGCGCAGAGCGCGGCCCGGAACGTGCTTGCGTGCGTGGCCCGTCGGGGCCGGCAGACGGGCGCGCGCACGCGCGCCTCCTCCCCACCCCCACCTGCCCGAGAACGGCGACGACACAATGGCGGCGCCCTTGCAAGTACCGCGGCCCGTCACCCACCTACTCTTTGACATGGACGGCCTTCTTCTGGGTGGGTAGCCTGCGGCCGCCTCCCGCGAGGGCTGTCCGGGGAAGGCGCGGGAAGGGAGCGCGGGCTCTCGAGGCCGGAGGCCGCGGCGGAGCCATACCCGGCACCCTGGGGCCGGCCGCGGGGCCACGTCAGGCCGGCCGCGCGCGGGGCCGAGGCGCCGAGGCGCCGACGCCGCCCGGGGCACTCACTTCCGGTGGCCGCGCCGCGCGTGGGTTACGGCGCAGGAGGGCGCCGCGCTCGGGGGGACCCCCGCGCCGCGAGGGCTGCGGACGCGCGCACGCCGCTCGGCCTCAGTTTCCTCATCTGCCCAGGTGCCTCGACGACCTCCCCCCCCTCCCCGCGCCAGTCTGCCTGCCTCGGGGCTGCAGGCGCGGGCGCAAAGAGGGGCACACACCTTGCCTCTAGCAGGGCATCTTCCAGGGCAGCTGTCCTCAGCCCGCCGGTTTGGGGACATCTGACCATGTCTGGAAGGCATTTGGAGTGCCCTTGCTGGAGGGGGGGGGTGTTGGGGGGTTGCTGTGTTCCGGGGGGTGGAGGCCGGCGCTGCTGCTGCACCTCTGGCTTCACAATGCCCAGGGCGGCCCTACACCGCCCCCCCATACACATGCCACATACCCACCACCAAGTGTCAGAGTGACCACGCAGCTGGGCATCACCAGGGAGCCCCCACACAGTGTGGCACCCAGGCCCCAACCCACAGCTGCCCACTCGGGATCCGCATCTGTGCCCGGGAGTCTGAAAGTGTGAGACGCACGCTGAGTTAGGAGTTGGAGACACTTGCGGTCCTGGCTGTGCCAGTTAACAGCCCCTTCCCCCCGCCCCCAGTCGGTGGGGATGGGCCCTAAGGTCACCACCTGCCAAGGAGCATTCAAAGAAGAAAACGCTCAGTGTATAAATATAACTGCAGAGAGAGGGCCCTCCCTGAGCGCTGCCCCAAGCCTGAGCCTGTAGCCTCAATAAGACTTCTTAGGACTTAAACAAGGCCCCCATATTTTATGTAGAGTACTGACCTGGTGGGGATGGTCATAGGGGATTTCTTCAACTCTGTAAAGTCCTGGAATGCCAGAGGAGATGCTTGCATGGACTGATTCAAACCCAAAGTGCCGTGAGTCAGAGAGGGAAAGTGACCTGCCAGAGGTCACACAGCCCACAAGGCGCAGAGCCGAGAAATGGTCCCAGATGATCTGACACTAAATAGAAGAGATGTTCTCATCTTGCGTGACTCATGTGACCTTGTCCCCACTTTTGCATGGCCAGGTGGTTGAGTAGTAAGGAGACCGGTTTTTTTTAAAGGCACACAGACAAAACACCCCATTTATTCATGAACCCAGAGAGATAACTAGTGAATTCCTAAAGAAAAAAAAAATCCCCAGAGAGGTTAGTAGTGGGAGAGAACAGAGTAGGCAGCCACTAATTCTGATGTGACTCAGTTTGACAAAGCTGCTGGGGTTCGCGAGGACAGTTGGGAAACATGAATTTCTCTGTTCAGGTGGTCAGGCAGCTGTACTGTCAAACGCCTTAGCCTCTAATGAAAGGTCCAGAGAACCTCTTGTGGGAGCCTCGTTAATTTTAATGCAGACCGAGTTGTCTCATTAAAATTAAATTTATTAAACCTCTCAACGAGCGGGATGCTTGCTCAGGATTTGAGACGCCATCCCTGTACCCTGAAGCGATGAAATGGGACTTTTGTGGCCCTGCCTGCAGGGAGTGACCAGCCAGGGTCTCCTGTTTGCTAGTTCACGCAAGTTGAATGGTGGAGCACCTGGCACTGTTGTGTGGAAACTGGGAATTGGTGGCGCCTGGGAAGACAACACCTGCCTCTCCCCCACTGGCCGTTTTCTGCCCTTTTTTTCCTCCTTCCCTGCCCTGGCTGTTCCTTCAGGTGGTAGGCTTTATGCAATTCTTGAGAAATGTACGTTATGTATTCTTTGTCTCTCTCTCTGCCAAATGTATAACGCCGTATGTTTTAGAATGTGCTAGTTTATCTCACTTAATCTACCCAGTTATGCCTGCTCTAATTCTTAAGTACGTTGCTGAAGCCTCTCTTGTTGCTGTAACAATGAATCATCAGTTTATCTTGCATTCTTTTGCCGTAGGTCTGGTTTGGGGCACTTTGCATGCATTCCCCCCACCCCCCGAAGTTCTGTTCATTTAGGTAGCCTCCATACTTGATACTTGGTTTTCTTTTCTTGTCTTTTTCCTTTTTTAAATTTAAGAATGTGTTTCATTGACTTGAGAGAGAAAAACAGAGACACATCAATGTGAGAGAGAGACATCCGTCAACTGGTTGCCTCCCACACACGACTGACCAGGCTTCTACCGAAACCTGGGTGTGTCACCAGACCGGGAATCGAACCCCCGACCTTTCTGTGTACCGGACCACAGGCCACCCGAGCCACCCCCGTTAGGGCCCGATTTTGGTTTACAAGGAAGTGAACTCGAACTCGGGTCATTTCCTTGAAATTCTTGTATTATAGGGGCAGTTTGTTTAATGGGAGGGGAATGAGGAAGTAAACTAGAGATTTTTGCAGGGACACCCGAGTGCTTTTCTGTGTATTTTGAAATGCTGTTCTTCCTTCAAACAGAAAGGACACTTGGGGATTCAGTTTTTATTGACATGAGGCAGCAGTTGGCTGTGACCCAGGTAACGCTTTTGGCTTTCCACGCCATCTAGGGAAAGAGGAAGGAGGGCCAGGGTTACTTTTAAACCAGGACCGGCTTCGGGAGGAAGAGGAAAGATGGCCAGTGTTTTGCAGTGTGCCGGGCCCTGCCTCCGCGGCTAAAATTGGGAGCACAGAGGCGGGCTCTTCTCTCCAGGAGGCAGGGAAGTGCCTGCCCTAGAGCAGCACTTAAGGGAAGGGACACCACGTGAAATTTCCCAGGAGCAACGTGAAAAAGGCGGAGGACACAGACGTTCGTGGAATGGCGCATTTTGTTTCCTGGCCTACTATCCAAAGTGGTGTCATTCGACATGTAATCAGGGCAAAAAGTCACCGAGGTTATTTCCCGCTGATCTTGGGTTGCTAGTCCCTGAAGTCTGTGCAATTAATTTATAGTCCGAGCAGGTTCCAGGTCAGAGTGCTCCCATTTCCAGTGCTCTGTAGCCACGTTGGGTGTGGCCACGATATTGGGCAGGGTAGGGCAGAGCTTCAGAAAACCACCCACTTCTGATAACAGGGGCGGGCGGAGGTGGGAATTTTAGTATTAGTAAAATGTGCTCTAACGTAAACTGTGTTTTCCGGGTGTCTGATGCTGTCATCACTCAGGGCCTTTAAAAAATCAGCCGGGAACAATACGCTTATTCTCAAATTCATAACAGGTAGGTGGGAAGTGAGACCGTTGTGTGCGGGGCATTACTGGCCCCACCGATTCCAATCCGCCGGGCCTCCGCAAATGCGCAGGGACTGCAGGGTCTCCCTGCGTGACGCGGGGCCCCGCCTTCATCCAGCACCGTGCGTGACCTGTTCTGCCCCGGTCCGCACGTCCAGCCTCCTCCCTGCCACGTAAGCAGCACCGGAGCCGGTTCGGAAGTGCCGCTGGCTGTGTCCGGGGCCCAGGGTACCCCGTGCGCCCCTGGGGGGGGCTGGGACTCTGCCGTGCTGAGCTGGTTCTTCTCAGTCACGCCGCGTCTGTGGTCGGAATCCCACCGCACACCGTCCTGGTGCCCACCTCAGCGCGGCGGCTTTCTGTAGGCACCGGAACCCGCAGAGCGGACGACAGAAATAGAATGTTACATAATAACAGCGCCTGCCCTACATTAGCTTCCAGGAGAATCCCCAGGAGAATCCGCAGACAGGCTGCGGCGAGGGGACATTCACAGTTGAGACGATGCACACCAGTGCATGCTTGAGTTATTGTTTGTTAATCACCCTACGGTTTTCCAGACGGACAACCGTGCCCTTGCTTTTGCCCCACTGTGTACACTGGCGTTGGGCCCCGCGTACTACCTACAAGGGTGGGTGGAAGGGGCAGACGATGAGCTTTTGGGGGGCAGTGGGCTCGTATCACCTCACGGGGCTGCATCTGTAGGTCCCCCGAGAGCCCCGGCACCTTTTCAGCAGGGAGAGCAGAAGAAAGGGTCCCCGGGGCTGCCTCCCTGCACATGTGGAGGTCCCAGCTGGAAGGAAGGACCCTCACACGCTCCTCGTTAGGGAGACCCCACCGCCTGTGCTGTGGGCGTGGGGCCCCGTTCTGGGTGGTGGGCAGGGGCGGCCACGCTGGGCCACACTCACCGTCTGCCCGCCTGGGGGGCCAGCAGCACACGCTGCGTGTTGATTCCCTTTGCTGGGGGGAATTTGGTTCCTCCCACCTTCACGAAGGAGTGGGCTGTGGTGGGCAGTCGGGGGGGAGGCCTTTGGGCCCAGCACGGCCCGCAGGGACGGAGCTGCTGATCGGGCGTTCTCATGTAGTTTACTCACTGACTCATTGTGGTGGACGGAAGCTGGCCAGGTTTCTGGGACACAGCAGAGGACGCAGGGGCGTGGAACACCTGTCCTCACGTCCAGGGTCCAGCAAGATGAGGAGTAAGACGCCAGCAGGGCTCGGGACAGGTAGGAATAGGCTGTGCCGCGTGTCCGAAAATTTGTCGTTACGAGAAAGCAATGCAGTTACGGGCCGGTGTGGGTCACTGCAGCTCCCCTGGGCTCTGCTTGTGCGTCTGTTCCAGCCAGCTGCTCCTGGGCTGGAACACGCGGGACGGAAGTGTGACCTCGATGGCAAAGTGAGACCGCTCCATGGGGTTCTGTCCGCCTGGCATTGGGACGCAGTCTGCAGCAGAGTCCCGCCTGGGCAGGCTCGCGGGGCCTCGGCTTGCTCCCCCCCGCCTGGCTCGCCCTCCCATCTGGCTTGACGTGGAGGTACAGCCTCCCAAACGGGATGTCGTCCTGGGGGTGACTGTCACGGGTTCTCTGGAACCCATCTTCCTTTCTTTGCTCTGCACTTCTTGCAAAGCTGTGCTTGGGGATTCATCCGTCCCTTGGGTCTCTCTGATTATTGGCCGA